TCCACCACTAAACCATGTCCCTTAGTGCCACGTCTACACGGCTTCATATGTCTCCAGGGCAATCCTATCAGTGAAAAAGCTTTTCCTAATATCCAATCTAATCCTCTCCTGGAACAAATTAAGGCCATTTCCTCTTGTTCTGTCACTTGTTACCTGTGAGAAGAGACTGACCCTCACCTTGATATCTTTTTTCAGGAAGTTGTAGAGAGTGGTAAGACCTCCCATGAGTCTGCTTTCCTCCAGGCTAAACACCTTCAGCTCCCTCAGCTACTCCTCACAAGACTTGTGGTCCAGACACTTCACCAGGACTTCACCTGTCCTTCAATAGACCTGCTCCACACCTCAGTGTCCTTCTTGTAGTGAGAGACCCAAAACACAGAATTTGAGATGCAACCAGCTTCTTGAACTTGGACTAGCTCAAATAATTTGGGGCAATCTGAAGATTTGTTTCTGGTCCTTTTTTCTGCTTCCTTTTCTGTGTTTTGCTCTCACTGGGAATCCTCCTTGCAGGGCAGGGTCAGCTCTCCCCATTTAGAAGCTAAATATGCATTTTTGCTCTCTTGGTGATTTTTTGTGTATGGAGGGAACAAAGCAAGATGTGGTCTCTTACTTGATTTGTATCTGTGCCATGTTCGCAGTTTGCCAAATGCTATGGAGCTTTGGCCACCTTTTCAGCATTAGAGAAGAGAGGCTCTTACAGCATATTAACTTAGGGACATTAAGCTGAATTATCTGCAACTGCCAAGATAGAGGCACTCATCCAAAGTTTTTAGTCTGCTATCTCATGGGACTGTCAGGATTTGTGGTGACAGTTTGTTTTTGCTTACTCCCAGACAATCTTAATGGCTTCAGCTGCCAGTACTTCTGTACATTTGTACTTTTAACTATCTGAATAATCCAATTAATTTCACTAGCATGCCTAAAAGTGCTTAGTTTTTCAGAAGGAGTAATGTCAAAAGCCTTTACTGATGCTGTCTTCTCCAAAATGTATCACTTTCTTTCAGTATGTCTTAGTTGCCCCCTTATTTTCCAGCAGTGCCTCAGCTTTTTTATCCACGGATCTCCTCAAAATGACTGGTGGCAGATAGATGCAAATAGAGCATTTAATTTCCTTTCAATGTCTTTATCCCCTTTAATTGTTCCCACTGCACCCTGGTACTCCACTGAGCCTTCTGGTTCTCTCACAGCCTGCTTACACCTCTCATAATTAAGTAATTTCTTCTTATTTATTTTCATGTTATGCCTTTGGCTAATCTCCCCACCAAATCCCTCAGCTAAACCATCTTCATTTTTTGTGTTACGTTATTGTTCCTTACCACTAGCTTATGTTGGGCTAACTTCCCATTTTCCAAAGGGTATTTGAAGAGTCTCTTTTGTGGTACCTTTCCATTCAGCCAAAGCAGATAGGCACACTCACTCCCTCCTCCTTTTTCTCTTTCTGGGGCTTGTGCAAATCTTTTGTAACTCATTAGTGGCTCACTTCAGTAGGCTTCATGCTGAATCCTTACAGGACCTTATACATTTCCCTTTGTGTAGTTGTAATTTATTTCACTTTTCTTTTCTGTGTGAGAGGGTTAAACTGGTGAGGAGGGGCATTGGAGGAGGGGAAGGGAACATTAAGCAATGGAACAAAAGTGATGGACTAATAAAAAGTGGTTCTGCGTTCATGCATAGAAAATTATTTGGATGCAAATCAGTCACACAGCTGAATGATTTGTCTCAAAGCCCCAAGACTCGAGAGCAGAGGGCTTAAGACTCAAGTGGCACTCTGTCTGATTTCTATCCAGGCTCTGCATTCATGGAACAGTGTGTCTGCAAACAACCCACCTGGAGGACTTGTGTGCTGCTTTTATAACTCCCTGTACTCATCAGAAAAACGTCTTTGTGCTCACTCTGAGTTATTTCCTACACCATGTCTTCAAATTGCAAATGCATAGAGAGTGGAGGGATGTAGGCAGGGACAGCCAGATTAGTTGTAAACTAAGAAAATTGAGTGCCATATCTCCCAGGTAAATAATTTCTACTGAAAGTACAGGAAGGTACAGGCGAGTAATTGTTTGATAAATTGGCAATTTATGAAACTGAAACAAAGACTGGAATTCTTCAGCACAAAGTCCAAGGGGAAGATTTTGCGCTGAAATATTTCCATTGTCATTTAGAGTTTGAGTGGATTACAGAAGATATCTTGTATCCACCATTTCCAGACAGTCCCACTGGAATCATTACAGACTTCAAAAACATCAGTGCTAGCAGGATCAGGAATATAAGTTTGAATGTACTCTTAAGAAAACTTCTTCCCATAAATGAAGGATGAAACCTTTTTTTTGTCACAATGTAGCCCTGTTTAACACCTTTGTCAATAAAAACCATCCAGTTCATTCTAGGTTTTGCAGCTGTGGGATTGAGATCACGATTATTCCATCTTCCCCAATGTAGCCAGTTAATGATATAATTTCAAACTGATGCCAACAAGAGTGCAAAGAGGGCTGGCATGTATGTAAGGACACTTTTGGAGCCTCTGCACATGTCTGGGAGCTTCCATGGGGCAGTTCTTGTGGAAGGCTGACCACCTGAAGGAGGATGCTGGGATAGTGTAGGATATATTACATAGATATGGTTTAGGGCTATGTCCTGGTTTAGGGCAAATTTGGGAGGAAACTTCCAAAGAGGTCCCTGTAGAAAGTAAATTCAAGTGACCTCTCCCCCAACTGGTTCAGGAAAAGATTTCCTTGGAGAAAAGGGGGAAAAAACCTGTTTATTTAACTGGCAAAGTATTCACAAGTATAAAAAAATGAAAAATATTAAACAATAAAACCTCTCATTGTTCTGAAGAGGTGGCAAATTCAGAAAGTCATTTTGTGGGCTGTAGCTCAGCTCACTCAGTCTCTTATCAGTCCCTCTGGCACTGGAAATGCCACATCCCGGGCCCTGGTGGGCCACAGGTGTGAGCTCCAGGTGTTCTTCTGGGTTTTCAGTCCAGGGCAGGTTTGAACAGCTCCAAGAAAAAGAAAAGCCGCAGTCTGGGGAACTTTACTGCCTCAGCTAGCTAAAAACTAACTAAAAAAAGCAAAGGAGAGCTCTGTCCCGCTGTCCATCCATGCTGCAGACATCACAGTCCAGAAGCTGGAATGTGGAGGACTGAGTGCAGTTTCTGAAAACAAACTCCATGATTCTTTTCCCCCACTTTACTCTCAGAACCAGTCTTAAAGGTGCAGAACTTAATATCTAGCATAAACAGAAGAGATGACTGGGGATATAAGCATCATAAAGTCACCCTAGAGCTGGGTATATTTGGGGTTTTTTCACCAGATATGGTCATCTGATGCTGCTGCTTGAAAGTCATCACCATTTCAGCTAAGCAGTAGGTAGTATATCACAGTTTTCTAAAATAAATTTAGACTTAAAATACATGCCAATTGCCAATCCAATCAGTATGCCTTCACCTGACATTGCTAAGGAAATACTCCTTTTAGCTGTTTAGTTGAGCTTCCCCATAGGGTTTGAAAAGGTCAAGGTTGTCTTGTAACTGTAAATGAGGGAGAGGTGACTTGGTATGCAGCAAGAACAATACTATGTGTCTTTAAGTTCAATAAGTTCAATTTATTGCCCCAATAATTATACTTAAGAGAAGCTTCTAACTTTTGCAGAAAGGCAGAGTGCAGAAGCAGATTTACAAGGGATCAGGTCTTTATAGAAGGAATGTACATTTCCACTCAAAACCTATTGAGAGAAAAGAGAAAGAATCAGAGAACAATTCGCCATTTACTTTTAATAGAAATTTAACATGTGTTGATGCCATTCAGGGGTAGAGGCCAATGGTAGAGAAATTTGTTTTGACTGCACATATGTTTTTTTATCTCAGGCAGAATTTGAAACAAATGCTCTTGAATGTTTGAGGGGATTTGTTTTAAATTGATGAAAACAGCAGAAAAGAAATAAATTAAAATTTCCATGGGAGAACACTGTATGAACCTTCCCTGTAAAGACCTCAGGTCTCATGAAAACTTGAGAACAATGCTAAGGTAAAACAGATTGCACTAGCAGTATATTACAATTTAATTTTACACAAGGTTATGCTGCACTTTGTGAAGCTTTCCTTACTTATTACTCTCTAGTGGAATGTATTGTTTGTAAATAATCTTAATGAGAAGGACAGATGAGGAGAGCACCTAATTCATCTCGCTGGGGTATAAGTATGGACTAGTCATTAAAGTGTCCAAGTCTTGCTTTTGTGAAATGGAAGTAGTGAGAAAATGGAAGGAGTGAGCAGCCCAGGCTTCCCAGAGCAGACTTTCACATTAAAGAAAGCATTTCAGCACTTTCTTCCCTTTTACTTGTTAAATGCTTCAGGCCCTCCGAGGCTTTTAATTATTCTCCCAGAGCTGAGGGAAGCCTTGTGGCCAGCCTACTGTAGCTGATAATTAATAAAGAGCTCTCATTTTGAGCATATGTAGCCATTTCTCATGTTGCATTTGGTTTGCAAAAATAAGGCAACTGTCAAACTGCATTGTGTAAAGCCTTGCATCATTCCCTACACTCAAGCACAGAACCTACTTGTATGATATCTTTTATATTAATATTGTACTGATTTATTTCCTTTTCTGAAAATAAGGAAACAAAAAACTGATAAGAAGAAGGGAAACAAACTGGTAAAGTATATCCAAATGAGCAACGATTTAAATCGATAGCTTGAATTTGTTTAATTTTATCACAGAAAAATAGTTTCCCAATGTAGCTTAGCTAAAATCTATTGACAGGTCTACTAGCAAAACTAAGGAGATCTCATTCAGTGTTTATTTTATCCGTCAGTGACCAGGATTTATCACACCAAGCAGTTTTGGAGCAGCAACTCTTTAAAGACACCTCTGAAACAACTCTTTTTCAGGATTCTGCCAGAATAAATCCCTGTCCTTCACTCATGCCCCACCCATAGCAAAACTGAGAATCTTGAGGTTTGAAGACAACTGCAACCATTGATTTCTTTTCTGCTTTTGCTTTAGGAACTCCTTCATAGATATCCTTCGGGCTATTCTCCTTTCCTTGGAAGTGCTCATTGAAGATCAGGAGCTTCAGATAAATGGCTTCATTCTAATTATAGATTGGAGCAACTTCTCCTTCAAGCAAGCCTCCAAGCTTACACCCTCTATCCTCAAACTGGCCATTGAAGGGTTACAGGTAGGTGGAGGGTAACACATGTACCTGCAACTTTTATTGCTGCAGACAGTGATTTTTGCTTCATCAGGCCCTGGGCAAAGTGAAAGGAGGAGAAATAATCTAGAATGCTTTAATGTTCCATCCACTTGCTGCATAGATCAATTTTCAGACATCTCATTTTGTCTGCCTTTCACTTTTATTTCAGCTGTAAATCAATGTAGCCAGGACGTGTGTTACTTACCACAGCATTAAGAAGGAGGGTTAGAGATTTGAGGTTTAATCCATGAGAGAATTCAAGGGGATTAGAATCCAGCAGTGTCTGCAGTCCACATGCAAGCACATGTGTGTGCAGAGGGAGGGTGACAGGAGATGAGAGCAGCTCCCTCAGCAGATGGAAGAGCAGTGCTGTGTTCATGGGAATGCGTTTGAGTAGGACGGGAATGAGGAAGAGGGAGGACAGGCTCCCTGTTGTGGCCTCATTCTGACTGCCCTCATTTGTCACACAGGATCCTGTTGGTTCATGGTTCAGACTCTTGAGGGGCTGCACTTCCACCTGGTGCTTGCAGATAAATAGGAACAAGCTAAAACCATGTTCTGTCATGGGGCTAGGTAGGAGGTGAGGAACAAGGCAGCTGGGGCCTGATGGGACAACCTGAGGATGAGGATAAACTGTGGTGGTCAGAGAGGACTTCAGTCCCTTCCACTAGTTCGAGCCCATCTCTGGTGTTAGACCTGAGAAGGACTTTTTACATAACCTTACGTAACTATTTGAGGGCATTTGATAGAATCCAAGGGCTATTTAAGTTGGAAGGAGAGATGGAGACCACTTTGTCTGACTCCCTGCTCAAAGCAGGGATGATTTCAATCTTATACCAGCTTGCTTAAAGACCATGTTTTCATGCGGCTACATATTTAAAAGGAGAGATAAGTAATTGTTTTTTTCTTGCTTAATACTTACCAGATATCCTGTTGTCATAAACACCTCAAGAAAAATTCTCTCTAGTGTGTTCATTTTTATTTTAACTTACATTCCAGAAGGAACAATTTGTTCGACTATTTTTTTTGACTAGCAAATTATCTGCAACTAGATCATGATTGTATCTGCTTTGTTTTATTATTCAAAAATTAGGTAGAAAAATCTGCCAGCGATTTTAAGCCTGTGTTCCCCTTTGTGAGGAATTTTCATCTATTCTAACAAATTAGAAAGTCAAGCTGTGCAATTAGTCCTTAGCACAATACCTTATCTTCTCCTGCAGATACTATCACTTCATACAGAATAACATTCTTTGCTTCAGAAAAAACTTCTAGTCAGAAGGAAGATAAAGCCAAGTGACATTCATAACTAAATCAAATTCTAGCAAAGCATCCTTGTGCATATCCAAATTTAGCTTTTCCATCTATTCAGTTTGAGGCCAGTACAGCCTTCATCCCATCGAATTTCTGGCCATGGCACTGCCAGGTTTTCTGCCTCCCGTTTGTTTGCATTTGTCAGCAGCAATACTGGAAGTACTGAAGCCTGGAAGTACCAAATCTTATAATTCTGTCATTAGCCTGACATCCTGTGCTGTGCAATTGAAGGAGGCAGCATTAGTTGAGTATGCAACTGCATTTCTTTTCCTATTTGAAGATGAGTTACTGTTGTCTTCTCCAGGATTAGTAAAAATGTGACTCTCTCTGAAAGTACAAATTGGGATAACTTGTCCTAAACTTAGCTAGCCACTGGCTTTGTGAGTAGTAGGAGTAGTAGGAGTTGTGAAAGCTGCATTCCTTTTTACCGGTTCTAGAAGCAAGACATTCATGCTTATCAAGCACATATTTAGCATACAATGATGTTGGGGGCTTTTTAGTTTGGGGAGTTTTTTGGCTCTTACCATTGCTGTTGAAATCCCTTCACTGAGACTTTGTTCTATTATTATTGAAAAAGAACTAGTGCTATCCTAATGTAAAATTTGTGTGAAATGTAGTTGAAATGCAGACAATACCTACATACTTCAGAAAAAGAGTCACTGCATTGGAGGTCACTGAAAGGAAAAAAGTCAGGTCCTACTCCCATGAGATGATGATGTCCAGAAATAAAAGCAGATTGTTTTAGTTCCTTGTTTTTTCTCATAGCTAAGGCACTGTGCAAGTACAAATCCTCATACAGGCAGATTACATGGCTATCTCAGTCCTCCTTTCTATGAAGAGATTTTGGGTTATATTAAGTCCTGTGTAAGTCTAGTTAAGTAGATGGAAGGAAAATAATTCTCTCTTACAATTTCTACTGGAGCTGAACCCATATGTTGCTATTTGTGCCAGGAACTTTCAGCCTCTCCCTATGTATTGCCAATTTTAATGCCATAGAGGAATAATTTTCCTATAGTTTTTTAAACAGTCATTCATTGTCTCAGACCATCACATTCTAACATATTGAATTACTTTAAAAAATTGTATTTAATAATTTATGCATTTAGGTATTTTTCTTACATTCAAGTTGCTTTCAGCTAATTAATCTTTTGGCAACTCTATATTTTTGCATTTGCCTTAAATTTAGTTTTTCTCAAATTATTGCTACAATGCATTACCACTTAAGTGCAGAGAGCAAGTATTACACAGGTGCATATATTAATTAATCTTGAGTTGTAAAACAAACACTAGTCAAATCTAGTGGACTTAGCTGCAGAAATTAATATTATTCAAGCTGCTCAGTTTCAAACACTGTAAAATGTGTAAATACTTAGAAAGATGAAGTAGGAGTGTCATCATCACACTGCTGAATGCGCATTTTGCTCAATACTACTCCTTGTTCTGTATGGATTTCTCCATATATTGCATCACGCAAGGCAGTTCATTGTATCTCAGTTACTTTATTTAGTGACCTAAAAATGCCCTTATGCCTCCACTTCAAACAACAGTAGTTCAGATGTTAAATAACTATTTGTACAGTTTAGCAATTCTCATCATGTTACAACAGTGTGGGGACAAAAGTCTTTGTAATGCCTAAGCCATCTCTGATTAACAAGCTCTGCTGTTTTAGCACAAGACAATTGTCACTGTATGCTTTGAGCTCATGCTGTATTCCTTCCTAGACCTTACAGATCTCTTGAATTTTAACACATTAAACACAAGATTTTCATGTGGATGGAAAGGTGGGGAGAGAGATGTGTCTAAAATAAACCTATTTTGCCAATAACTTTCCAAGTTTTCACTTCTAATCTTCATTCTTTTAATATGAACAGCTTTCCCCCTTCACAGCATGTTTTTTCCTCTTTTTCTTCATCTGTGAAGTCACAGTTCTTTGTGTGTCATGCTGAGCTTGTAATTATCTTATGATGGTAGACAAAATTTAATTGTGGCTTAAGTTAACCAAAGACTGATCTTCTGGCACTTTGCATAATAGAGTAGAAGCATCAGAGTCCAATAGCAAGGGTCAGAAAGCCATGTTAAAATAATGATGCAGGTGAAGCACATAAGAAATGGTCACTTCTCAGTACACAGGATATTTGCTACTGACCACTGCATTCAAAGACTCCAATAATCCTGGAAACCTGAAGGGCTGCAGGGAACACAGCCTTCATGTCCAGTGAAACCCAGACATTTTTTTTAATGTAAGGCTGGTTGGTTTCTGCTCTGAGGATGTAGTTGGTTGGCCTCCAGACAGGACTTTTGGTTTTATGGTATACCAATGAACATAAAGAAACACTCTTTGTTCCTGCCTTATCCAACACCAGAGCTATGTACTGCAGTTCGTGTATGTGCATGCATGTAGCAATTTAGAAATTCCCCCAGCCAGTGCTCTGAATTGAAATGCAATTACTTCTCAATAGCATCCAGAAATCTTCCAAAACCTTCCAAACAGCAGAAGGTTTGACCTTGCCTGCTATTTCTTTGATGAAAGCCAAGACAGAGGACTCTAGTCTACCAAGACCCAGCTGAGTGGCTTATGACACAAATCACCAAACTGGATTCAAAACTGACCTGAAGGTCAGGTTTGCACTCCAGAGTACCTAATACTGCCTCACCTAACAGGTCACTTGCCCCAAGGCTGTCTCAAGGTAGTGAAACAAGAAATATGGTTGATGGTTATTTCCTGGCTGTATTCTTTCTTTCTTTGATATTTGTGTCACATGCAGGTGTCCTCAAATGTGATTACAGTCACTCTTAAGAAATAAACCATATTCCCACCTTGTGACAATGATGAATCATTGCAGGAGTGGTCTTTAGGGTTCAACAGGGCTTTGATTCAAATTTCACAATCATTGCATTGAGCAGCAGTAACAGGAGGGAGCAACCGAGATCTGCTAACAGGAATTTGTCTCCGGAGTTTCATTGGCAATAACTTGACAGAAGATTGGACCAGCAAAGGACATTAGGAGAACAACTAAATTTCTTTAAGTTATCTTCAGTTTATCATAATCCAGACAAAATTTGAAGCTAGTATTTCTGTGAGGAGGGGAAAAGGAAAGGAAATCAGTGATGCTTGACTTTAAAACACTTTGATCAGATAGTGGTACAGATAAAAAAATCTTTGAAAAAAATCTTCAAATAAGGGAAAATTGTATAAGATTCTCTTAGAAAATTGTCAAAGGTATATTTGCTAATGCTACAGGATAGCATTAATGTTTAGATGAAATCAGAAAATTAAGCTAACAGGTTTGTTTGGAGATTATTTCACTTCAAAATCTAGAATGAGATGCCAATTTATGAAAAAACTGTGGCTCTTAAGAACTATATGAAGCTTTTTGATCTTCAACATAAGCAATAGATTTTAGAAGTCTTTTTTCTTTCCTCCTACTGTAATTTTGTAGGATCAAGAAAGCTAATGTTAGTTCAATTATAACAGCAAATTATTTGTCTTTTGGCATTGTCTTAGACAATCAAATATTTTTCATGTTGTGCTTCAGAAGGAAAAGTTATAGTATTTAAAAATGCTCAAAAGTGAAGGAGAATGTAGATCTTAAAGGAAAAAAAATGCAGTCCAATATTATGCCAGAGGTGTAATATTTTTGTATGCTTTTTTTCCCAAATCTTACTGAAAAATA